AGATGAATCGGCAAAGTCTCGCCAGAAAGCCGCGTCTGGTCTTGCGACTGCACTGAGCAGTGACAAGAGAGCCCGACCGTACTGGAGCTCCATTTCTCAGTCCAATGAAATCTACCACCATCTCGCTATGTTCAAGGGTGAGAAGGAGAGTACACAGCAAGGACGCGAGCTGCAACTCGACAGATACAAGGAGTCCAAGGACTTGGTCAGCAAGGTGCCCAGATTGAACGTACCTCCTGCTACACTACAGATTGAAGTCCGGCCCAACATGAACTATAGTGATCTGCCGAGGATTGCAGGATTCAAATCGACGATGAGCATCGCAAACGGCCTCAGTGCGCCCAAGATCATCACTGCCAAAGGTACCGACGGTCGGCCTTACAAGCAATTGTTCAAATCTGGAAACGACGACCTACGTCAGGATGCCATCATGGAGCAAGTCTTCGACCAGGTTTCACGACTGCTCAAGAATCACACGGCCACGCGTATTCGAAACCTTGGCATTCGTACTTACAAGGTGTTGCCGCTCTCAACCAGATCTGGGCTGATGGAGTTTGTGCAAAACACTGTTCCGCTGCATCTGTGGGTCATGCCGGCTCATGAAAAGTACTATCCGAATGACTACAAGCCCGACAGATGTCGCAAAGAGATTGGCGCCTGCCAACAGGACTCTCTCACTACACGAGTCAAGGTGTGGCAGAAGATTGCAGAAAATTTCCATCCTGTGATGCGCTACTTCCTGCTCGAGCGCTTTGAAGATCCTGACGAATGGTTCGAGCGCCGTCTTGCGTACACGCGCTCGACGGCTGCCATTTCCATCCTGGGCCATGTACTTGGCTTGGGCGATCGCCATTGTCACAATATTTTGCTTGATGAGAAGTCTGGCGAAGTAGTGCACATTGACCTTGGAGTGAGTTTTGAGGCTGGTCGGGTTCTGCCGGTACCGGAAGTGGTCCCGTTCCGATTGACGCGTGACCTAGTAGATGGTATGGGGTATACCAAGACAGAGGGGGTTTTCCGGCGCTGCTGCGAGTTCACTATGGATACGCTCCGCGAGGAAAGGGAAAGCATCATGACTCTGCTCAATGTTCTGCGCTACGACCCCTTGGTTAACTGGAGCGTCACTCCGACCAAGGCAAAACGCATGCAAGAAGCAAATCAAGAAACGGGTGCCAACGGTACCGCACGCTCGACCAGTGTCGCGCCTGGGGGTACACCTGCTCCTTCGGGCCAAGCGGCGGCAGTCGAGGAAGCGGCAGGTGTCGTGCATGAGAGCAACAAGAAACGGGAAAAGGAAGACCAGGCCGGTGAGGCGGGTAGAGCGCTTAGTATTGTGGAGAAGAAGTTGAGCAAGACATTGAGCACAAAGGCCACTGTCAATGAACTCATCCAGCAAGCTACTGATGAGCGCAACCTGGCGGTGCTATACATGGGGTGGGCAAGCTATGCATAGCTGGATATGGGAGTGCCGCATTGCCGTAAAGGGCCGATGAAGGCAGATAGGCTGGGGGTATACGGGCGTATCTCGGGCGCTCATGTTACCCTGTTCTTTTTATATGTAACTCTTGCACAGGGGGAACGGGCTATCGTTCGGATGTGTATAAGTAATACGGATTTATAAAAATTCATCCGCCCGGGCGTTGACAACCCGGATTGTTTGATTGGGTTTGTCACAATGCTGGGGTAATGTGCACATGTCGTTCTCACGTGTTACCGGACTAATGGAAAGAAAGTGAGACATGCGAGCATCAGACCGTTAGACGGTTAGACACGCGAACACACGACCATTGCATGCTGTGGCACACGTATACAATCACATCTGTGTATACAGTCTTGGCTGACTTCCCAAGCCATCCCATGGCTCCCCCTTGCGCTCTCCCATGAACCATTCGGAAAGAAAAAAATACAAACCTTCACTGCCCCCATACCCTCCCTACCCGTGTGACAAGATAAGCCAAAACGCACGACAATGACTACTACTCCCCTCCACTACACAATGACATCAGGCACGTGCAACCCAAAAGCAAAACCCACCTAACCCGATAACCGTTTCCCGTTCAAACGCTCTCCCCATATTCGGTCCGATTCGTAGCTCCCCCCCTCCCCCCCAATCCTGCATCCGCATCTACATCACGCACCTCTCCAAGCAATCGTTGTAGTACGTACATACGTAGTAGTGTAATACAGCACTCCAATAGCAACCCCCCCATCCCCTCCGCGTCCGCGCCTGGCATCTGGCATCAACACACCCTACGTACTCGAGCGCACCAATTCCGCACCCGGTTCCCTCCTTGCGTACTCCAACACAGGTTGTATACTTTCCTTTACTTACTTACACATACGTATGCCATCCATTCTCATCGCCAAGCCCCTTACTCGTGTATAGTTGAAAAGGGAAGTATGCCGAATCCCCCTTAGCGCAACCAATAACATCACCGCTGATATACCCCCCCCCCCCCCCAATCTTTTTACCTCCCCCCAACTTTTCTTCCTAAATTCCCTGAGCTCTTCAAAAAGAGGGATGTGGAGATGAGTGGAGATAGTGGAGTTTTCGTTAATTTTAAAGGAATGCAGAAGGAGAGAGAAAAAAAAAAAGAAGGTAGTCCACGTGCGAATACATGCAAACACGTGGTGTTGAGAAGGGGAAACAGAAGCGGATGACGCCAACGCCACTAACGTCATTTACCGCGATTGGGAGAGGTAGGTGTGTGTGTGTGTGTGTGTGTGTGGAGCGCCTGCTAGTGGGGCATTTCTGTGCCCCATTGGAAAAAAGTTTCCGTGGGAAGAATGCGCGACTAGCTTTACCATGAAAGAAAATGAGAAGATGGGGAGAGATGGATTGACTGGGTGGCGTTGCTTACTGCGTGAAGAAGTTAAAAAAAGAGAATATAACAATGTTAAGCGGAGGTTTTCTCATTGAAGTACAATAATCCGATACAACATCGGCCTAATGGCCCAATGGCAAGGCGCTTGACTACGATTTAGTTCGATATCAAGAGATTCCAGGTTCGACCCCTGGTTAGGTCATCTTTTTTTTCTTTGGGCAATCGCTGGTGAGGGAGATTTTGGTTGCGCATGGCAATTGACACACATGACATGGTTTTGTTTGGGTGGAGTGGATTTGCAGAGTGTAGTTTGATCTCATTACCTTTTTTTTGTTAGGGATTACATAGATTGGGCTATCATCACACTGCTTGTTTACTATGAAAATATTGTTATGGGTGTTGATGCTATTTCTAATGCATATGTTGTACTCTGATGGTGTGTTGCAAGCGACGAGAACAAAAACAATGAGAAATAGCTAGTAGCAGGAAGCGGGGATCCAAACACCCCCACTCAACGCGCCTCTTTGATGCAACGTATTTGCTGACTGCATCCATCGTGTTTGGATGTCGTTAATTTAGTCTCAAGCGTGATTACATGATGATATTTTCTTTTTTTGGCTGGCATGAGAATTGCTTTTGTTGGATGTTTTGCTTTTCTCTCTCTCTCCAACGCAACAACTACATATGCAGTAAGCCGTGGCGTTGGGATACCAAGAGAGAATAATCCATCTCATACTTGGCACAATTTATACTGCACTAGGTATCGGTAGCGAAGAAATCCGTCATGTTTATATGAATGCGCACAATACAAATTGAAGTTGCATACCAAAAAAATATGTTACATGTCAAGATGAATATTGTAATGTCGAGCTAAGATATTTACATACTCTGATGCGATGCAAGTAACCAAACTGCATGGACTCCGGAGGCTCGCGCCTACATTTCCCAATCTTCTTTGGGGGTATATAGTAAGTGCACCAGGGGATAGTAGTACACACACACAAACGCTATGTAGCACGCTCTTTCTAAACTTTGAACTCACCACGTATGTGTGCCGTGGAGGACGGGATGAGGGTGGAGAAAACATGCTCAGATGAAGCGAAGAAAAAAAATGGTAACAAAAGAAGAAGCGGTCAGCGCTTGACCGTCAAAAATGCGTCGGCACACAACAAACACAAAAACGCCCTTCCCATGCTGATATGCCGCGATCCATAAATGAAAAAAAAAGTTAGAACAACACCGGCGCATCCCACTAAGCTTCGCTAATAATACGCACAATGCTAAATCCGCTTGGGAAATGAGTGAAAAAAAAGTTAAAGAAAATCCAAATGCCCCGCGGAACATTTTCCGTAATACTAGTCGGGTCGAGGCGCGCTGCAGTAGCCCTTTGGCTTACTGTAAGTATAGTAGTAATACCGAGGCTTGATTGCTCGATAAAAACATGTAACACCCCCACTCTTGATCTAACCGGCATCGGCGAGACCCGGCATGTCGGGGTTGTGCGGAGCCATCCTCGTTTGTCCAAAATAGCCAGGTGGAAGAAGTGGCATTCCGAAAAAAAGGCATGTTCCGCCCCAAGGTTCCTTGACGCCCTGCCAACTCAGGGACCAGCCAGGTAGGTCTTGACCGGACGGTGGTTGGTTGAGACGTGTTGCGGACCAAGCGATGTGCTGTTTTTTTTTTCTTTTCTTGCTTCCCCGCTGTGAAGATCTCGGCCCCGACGAAACTCCGCGCGTGTCGTGTTGCTGAGTTGGCAATGCCCAATCCTGATGCACAAGACCAAATTTTCCATCTCTTCAATTCCAAAGAATCGTGTGCTCTATTCCACGTTTTTGTGTAACGTTTGTAAGCGAGGCGCAACAATCCCAGCGTAACGGTTTCCGTGGTGCCTATGCCGAGTCGAGCAATTTTGCTGGACGGCGGACCCGCTAGGCCCGTCGCGCCAAACTAAGGTAAGTCATGCCATGTCTTTCGGAGAAACTGAATCCGGGATCGTCTCAAGGGCTCCATGCCAACCAATGACGCAGGATCGAATGGCCGCATACGAAGCGCTACGTAGGTGGAGACGCTTTGCAACGTGCAGGCTCGGTGCCTCTTGTCGTATGAACGTAACGAGGGTAACGGGGCACCAGGCTGCGTGTGCCCAACCACAAGGGGATTCAATCTCACTGCAGCTCAGGATGAATTGATTGGAATCCATCGAAGGGGAACGCGGTTTGAACCGTGACGCGAAGGTGGTTGAGTGGGAGCAGGCTTTCTGGGTGGGAGCCAGATCCGCGCCTTGCCGACGGCCTTTGCGTCGAGCTTGCCTACGCGGCGCATGTTCATCTCGAGAACAATGACACGTAGAAAGTCGCTGTTCTCACGGGGCTCGCGCTGCCGAACGGTTGGTGCGTCATTAGACAGGACCCTTCCAGCTTCGGAAAGCGGATCCGCGGCACGACTGCGGCGCGACTTTTGTGCACGACCACGCCGCTCATATGTCTGCAGTTGAATCATAGGCGCGTGGGGGTCGAGATCGGTATCGAGGGTGAAGGAGTCGTGGAGATGCATTGATAATTCGGTTGCTGAGATTGGTGCAGGCTGCGGGTTGAGATAACGTCGCAATTCGGGCGATGGCAGGCCATCGACCATCTTTGGCCGCATCTCGCTGGTGAAATTGGGTGATAGGAGTGATCGCGTGAGGAAGTCATCCGGGGGCACGCTGGGGGCTGTAAAGTTGGAAAAGGACTTGGCGGCTGACTTGAGGGCCTGGAGGGAAGCGGTTAGGTTAGACTTGAATGATCTGAATCGCTCGGCTGGAGGCGCGGGCGGAGCGGTATCGTTGATGTTGGTCGCGATGATGTCCTCGCAGTCGTCGGGTCCAAAGTGAAGAAGGGGATGGTCGAGAATGCAGTCCTCTTTTGGTGGGGATGAAACCACCTTCTCTTTACGTTCCGGTAGTGACTTGCGGCCAATCGAGTCTGGTGTGCTAATGTTGTCCCAGTGGGAAGCGTAGGATGGATTCTCATAGTCCAGTGACGGGGGTAGGGAGATGGAGTCGCTGGAGATGGACCTGGATGTCAAGAAGGAGGCCTTTTCCTGTTCCATGCTCATGCCACTGCTGTACTCGTCATCCGACTCGTCGACGCGACCGAGCAGCAGGTCCATGGGAGAGCCCGACAGTGAGGATGGAGTGTCTGAGTCTTCCTGCCTCCACTCCTGTATCAGCTCATCCATGGATATCCTCCTATCCATTGTGCTGCGTTGTCGTCGGCGAGCAGGCATCTTGGGGATAGTCGTGACGGCGAGCAAGGCAGCAACGGCGGGTGGCAGTGCCTTTGCGTCATGGCTGTATACGGTACGTGCCGACGAGTGGCGTTGCTGGGTCCTCATTCTCGATGTCTGTGTGGAAGCGGATGATTTCAAGGGCGTGCGAGGTGGAATGCCAACGGGTTTGGACATTGTTGTAGTTGTAGTAGTGGTGGTGGTCGGAGGCACACGATCGGACGGGGGCGGTGATTGTGGCTTCTGTTCAGGACGGACCATGGATTTAATTGTAGATTGCATAGGCGTGTCCGCGCCGACGGGTCGGGTATTCTGTGGAGAGGGACTAGAACGCAGGCGTGTGCCCATCCTTTCGGACTTTGATCTCGAAGAGCGTGGTGAGGGTGGAGAGTGTTGCAGATAAGGGAAGGACCTTGGCGAGTACATGGCGCAGAAGTAGGGTAGTAGGGCCCTGAAGGCGTTTCCCCCGTGACTAACAGGTCGGTGGGTGCCAGGTACGGCTGGTGCTGGGGCTAGACGGGTTGTGACGTGCGGCCGCTGGATTCCTTTACGTTATTGCTGGTTGGTTATTGGGCGGAACCTGCAAGGGCAAGTCTCGAGCAACATCAGAGGTGCAGGACTGGGTTGCGCCGAAAGTCGCCGATGCACGGGGACGGGCAGAGGGTCGAGACAGACAGCAAACAGATGCAGAGGGTGACGGCGAGGATGAGGGAGGATGAAGGATGGATGCAATGATAATATGGATGGGTGCATAGGCAGCGGAGGTTGGGGCAGTGATAAGGGAAGGCCGATGACGAAGCTAGGGGGGGGAAGCGAGGTGTAAGCTGGGTGCCTATCGGGAGCTGCGATAAGTAATAGTCTAAAAGTATGGGCATGGGCGGAGGGCGGAGGGCGGAGGAGGGCAGAGAGGGCAGTCGCGTGGGTGCTTGTTTCCTATCCGAGACGCATACCCAGGGCACACGACCGCCCGGACAGCTCTGCTCTGGTGCACTGGCGGACGAGAGAGCCGGGGTTGGGCATAATCCAATTGCTGCTGACACCGGATCATGACTAGACGACTAGGACTGGGACTGGGACTGGGAATAGGCTAGCGGTTGCTGTCCACAGATTCTATGGAGAGCATGCTGCATGCGCGACACGATGCAGTCTAGGGGGGAGGGGGCGATCGCCTGCTAGCCGCCACCTCCGCCCGCCATCAGCCCTGCCGCCTTACCGCCCCACGCTCTCCCTGCCTTCTCGAAGGCCCAGCGGCCATGCAATCCATTGCATCCGTCTGTCTCTGCTTCATCAGACTTCGCTGCCCGGCACAGTCACATGGCACCGCTACGCGTGGCGCCCGTCACGCCGTCTTGCCGCCATGGCCCACGGGTGCCGTTGCTCCAGGCTCGTGTAGGTGTAGTGCATCGTAGGCTGCTCAGCTTCGCCGCGGTGCCGACGGCGGTGCATGTGGCTAGGAGTCATCACTGCCGCCGGCGTATAGATGCGCATAGGTGTACATACGTGGCTACATGTGTCGCCTCAACCCCCGTGTAGCCTATGCTTGGGTGCAGCCTCTCCGGGCCTGTAAGAAGCGCCATGCTTATCTACATGGCCAGTATCTCTGACCTACTGCACGTAACTTGTGTCCTGCAGCCCGCCGCAGAGACGCACTAGCTGCCCATGGTCCTTTTCCGGTCATGTGGGGTAAAGCTCGTTGGGCTGTCAGTCTGGTGGTGTGTGAGACTGTGTGTGTGGGTGTGCGAGTGTGGAGGCCAAGCTTGTTTCCGCTGCAAAATCGATAGCCGCTGCTCCCCCGTGCTTGGGCAACGTCATTCTCGCCATATCTCCATTGTCAACTCTCCAATGCCTCCTCCAAACAAGAACACATGTTTGCACCATTTTGGTATGCATACTTTTTTTTTTCTCTCCCCCTGCGCACAGCCAAAAAGCACAGTCGTTCGCACAGTTGCACCTGCTCAATCGAGCTTAACATACGGTCTTGTGCCAAACAGGAAGGACCGTAGACACCGCGGACCCTGATGTTAGAGACAAGATCCTCCCTCGGCATCTGCCTAGACATGAAGGAGATGAAGCCTATTGCAATCATAGACGCAGCTCATCTATCCCTCTTCCATTCCAATCTAATGAGCGCCTTCCCCATGTGCACATAGTCGCACTGGATATCAAGCTTTCCGCTCCGCCTGCACACACTAACACTGGCTTTTGCTTGGCTCATCCCTGCGCCCGCGTCCTGTCCAATGTCACTTGTCACTCCAATTCTTTTCTTCCGTCTACTCGGTTTGCAATGTTTTTGATTCTGATCAATCGTAGCAGTACATGTCTCCTTTTGTCTTCTCCCACGCACACACACACACACACACACCCCTTCCTTCCTTCCACTCTGGGCAGCAAGCTTGGATGCATGCAAATGCCCCTCTGCCCCACGCTTACATACAAGAACTGGATATGATAGCAATTAAAAGCATACAAGAAAGCGGGAAACTGCGCCAATCGCGCTCAGAAATCCTCCCATCAACTCCCTTTGCGCCGCGGTTCAGCCGCTCACCCAAAAAAAGACCACAATAATTTGAACAAATGAAGAAGTCAAGGGGGCCCCGCCTCCGCTCCTCAAGCGCGAAAAAAAAACATAGGGCACCAGTGCATCAAACAGAAGGAACACTTGGCTAGCAATCTGACGTGCAGCCCGTTTGCTTGCCCCTGCTCGCTCCTGCTCGCCCTGTACGTGGCGAATCTCCCAACCACTCGCTCTGTCGTTCAAAACGAGGCCATGAGTCTCAGGTGAAAATTTTCACCCTTCTCAAGCCGCTTCCTGGGAAGGAGTGCATGCACTAACCTTAGCTTAACAGCCCAAACGGACAAGAAGCACAACCAGAAGTGAAAAAAAAAACGGACAAGACATTGAGCAGCCGTAGCGTGGTGAATCGTCTTTTGCCGGAAAGCATGCAGTCATCTTCGGCATGGCCTCGTACAAGCGCCCAAGTGGAGGTGCAAACAAGCATCGCTCTCCTTAGTACCCGTCGCCGTCGTCGGTCCACCCCGCTTCGGACCCTTCAACCACACGCACCATGCTGCTGTCGTGCTCACTCGGCGACTCTCGTCCTCCGACGTTGCGTATCCCTCGGACCTTCTTGCCTTGAATTGCCCGCGGCGTAGATGCGTGACCACCTTCGGGTGTGTAGCGCTTCATCTGCCGCCGGTACTCATGAAAGTCGATCTCTTCCTCAGGAGCATCATCCGACTGTTCACTAAATGTCTCCCAGTTTTCAGACCCAGATTGCATCGTCACCCCCGTGCCAGCTGTCCCTGTCGACGATGTCTGTGAGATTTGTCGGCTACTTCCCGACGACAGTGATGGTGGAGGGTACGTGGGAGTGTAGGTTGGAGTATAGCCCCCGCTCATTGTCTGGCTGTGTCTCACATACGATCGGTCATCATAGGGGTCCTCGGGTGCCACGTTACGCACAATACTCTCGCTGCGTTCTCCGCGGTTGAAAGCAAACCGATTCATCGGAGTCTCCACAGGCGTCGGCTCCGGAGGTATGAAGAGGTCTTTCATTCGTGGGGGAGGTGCCATGGGAGGTGCCTTTCTTCGCATGGTTGCAGACTCTTCTCTTGAAGCTGTTACTCGATGGCCAGGTGAGTTCCTACCGGTTTGTGTGCCACCTATTTGCGAGCGTGATGGTATCTTGGACGGACTCTTCTGCGCCGGCGCTATCGAGGACGACGATGATATCGTTGACACGGAAGTACCAAAACCCGAGGAAACAGAACTGGACATGGTATGTCTGGACACACTTGCCCCGTAATTAGACACAGGAGTCTTCGAACGAGTTGGCGGTGCTCCACCGCGAATGGTTCCAGCACGGCTAAGGGCAGCGTTCCTCGACACTGTTCCTGACTTGCTCGGCATGCTACTGTTTGAAGGCGTCTTTGCACGGGGCGGAGCTGCGGCTGCTTTCGCCGCAGAGGCATATAGCTCATCAAGGTATCGGTTTCCGTGCACCAGGAATGGGCGTCCATATTCGTCTTCCCAGTTTTCTAGGATGTTCTTCAGATCCTGTCATGATTGCGTTAGTTTGGGCATTTGCCTTGCAGGTGTCGTGTACTTACAGATTCAACCTTGGGCAACTCCTTTGCGATGCGCTTCCGCATCTTCTCTTCACGCAGAAGCTTGCCTGGGTCACGCCTCTCGCCCTTGTTGCCGCGGGCCATGAGACGTGTTGCGTCTTGACTCGATTGCTGAAGCTCATCACGCTCTTTGATTAGTTCACGGTGACGATCAATCTTTTGCAGGATGGGGAGTCGCTGTTCCTTTAGGGCTTCGAGTCGGGCGATTTCGGTTTCGTGTGCGGCCAGCAGTGCATCGCTACAGACATCCGAGAAGGCGGGCGTAAAATCCAACATTTCCTCCTCGGAAAAGTAGAGGGCATCCCACAGGTCCTGAAGCTTGCATCGGGCCTCTTCGACGAACAGGTGTAGGTTCTGACGCTTGAGTTCGTTCAATCTGGCCAGCTCATCCTCGTATTCGTTGATGGTGCGGAGACCGCATCCGCGGTTGCTGGTAAGAAATTGTTTACGCTCCCGCTCCTCGACTCCTAGGCGATCCCAGAGATCCTCAATCGTTACACGCAGCTGTCCGAGTCGTCGTTCGCGCCCGCGCTTTTCCTCGATTAGGCGTTCCTTTTTGGCGTGTAACTCGTCGAGATCGTCCTTATGAAGACCAAGTTGTTCGGGGGAGTCGCGATAGTACTTGACAATGGCGCCATCGGTTTGTGCCTGGGGGGTCCCCAGCTCGGCCCAGAGCTGAATAATCTCTTGGCAGACTACCTGGACTGTGTTTATCCGCCGTGTGTACTCTTCGTATACGCGCGTGAACTCGTTGTCGAGTTTGGTTACATAAGCCGGTGAGATGTCAAACGAGGGTGAAACGGTCGCATTCGGCGCAGTAGGCGGGAGCTTGATCTGTACAAACGACGACTCAAGGTGGGATGCGTACGACTCGAGTGCTTCAGCCAGTTTTCGCACTTGCTCGAATCGCTCTTGGTGTCGTCTGCTGACTGAGTTGTATCTCTCCTTTAGGGATTGCAAACAGCGCGTTAAGGGGAAAGTAATGGCGTCATCATCATCATGGTCGTCGTAATTCGGATTCGGCCTGCTGTCGTCCAGCGAGGCTTCCATTTGGCGGATCGTCTTGAGGAGGCGATGGGCCTCCTCGGTCATTTCATGTTTCTCGTTGGTCACCTGGCGCAATTGGCTGTGCAGCGTCTCGGACAATGCAGAGAAAAGCTACCAGACTGTCAGCAGTCGCATAAAAGATGAGCATGTGCGCCTGTCGCATACCTCTGCTTCGCGCGAGTCTCGCTCATGGCTGGGGACACCGATCTCGTCGAAGAGGCCGTGCAGCTGGCCAATGATTGTCGTGACCTGCTGGGCTAGGTAACTCGTGTCCATGATGTCTGCAGCCCCGCAAGCGCAATATTCCAAAGCGCATACAAAGTTTCGGTTAAAAGCAGAGCCGTGGATGCGTTGTCGTTGTGGGTAGGCACAGTGGGGAAGAAGCGAAGAAATGCGCGCGCTTCCTATAGGAGAATGCCGTCGGAGTCGCGTGCGTAGAGTGCAAACGAGGGAACAGCGACGGAAGGACAACACAACGCGAGCGCACCACACGTCTTTGGGACCTTTCCAAGACGGCAAGAAATAAAAGAGTGAATACAGAAAGGCAGTGATGCAACTGTTGAGAGGTCGGGCTGTAGATCAAAGTTGCCAGCGGCCTAGTGGTCATAGTCGTTTGTGGCCCCCTCTACCCCCGGACTATTTTCAGCCCTCGGTTGCGAGGGGCAACCTCCCGCCTTACCCATTGCGCCTCTTTATAGGAACGCCTGTTTCACACCCAACCTGCTGTCGGCCGCTGAGAGCGGGGTACTGGTTCGACAGCGCGGCAAACTGCTGCTAGCTCAAGGGTCATGCCGGTAATCGTGCATCGCCATCCTCCTGCGTGGCACTGGCCGGTTTTCCTTTTACGGCCCGTTGTTGTCATGTATTACAAGACGACGTGCATGTAATATCCTTGATCCGACCCAGATCTGACCGGAGGTGTAAGAGTAGGCTGCCTGCAGGCTTTTTTCCTTTGACAACAACAACAATAACAACAACACATAAGCGTCGAGTCCATACAGCAGCTTCTGCGGCTCAGTCGATCAGTACATGGATCGCCCATCGCTACGCCCGTAACAGCAACGACGACATGAGCCGTCGTCCGCCACAACCAGTTTCTTGGTAAGAGTAGTCTGCATCGCGAGTCAGTCAGCCTTGGAAAAAGAAAGCAATGGGGCACCAAGACCCATATCTAAACCGCATATCTCAAATGATACAATTGCCATGTCACTCGTTGCTCCGTCGACACAAACGCCGTCCATTGCGCAACAGAAACTGCTACGGCATGTCTAGTTCTCCATGTTACTCCAGGTAACCACGGCTATCGGCGCACTATCCGCAAAGGAGCCGCCCATGTCGCTTACGGTTACATCTTCCTCCCACTACATGGATCAGCCCCATAAGTTTTCCCGATCTCGTCAGCGGCCCATCAGCCGCCTAACAGAAAACCGGATTCTCTCCACTCTGCGAGGATATTGAGTAAATACGGGCGGGTTCCTTGGGGGACCACAACATCCGAGACTTCAAATCAAGGCACAACACGGGCTTGGGGTGCACTTTTGTCCGCGGAATGCGACAAAAAATCGCGAGTATTCGCCGGGACATATATATGTTGAGAATTTAGTGCGGGAATGCGACCTGGAAAAGAGGAGATGTTGTCTTCCATTACCCTAGGGTGGCTAGTATACATACCCTACACGACAAGAAAAACAGCTCACAACTGACACATGATTTATTGAAACCAGGCATTATACTACAGGAAAACTTACTCCGAACACTGGAACGTAGCTTTCCACTTGCCGCCAGCCACATCCTGCAACACTACACTTTCCTGTTCACTTGCGCTCACGCTAATATCCACAACGCAGTCCTCGCTTGAACTCTGAGCTTCACTCAAGGTAACCCGGCCACCGCAGTTCAGCACAGGAACGTGCACTTCACCCGTCGTTCCCTCGGGCGCCTCGAACTCCAACACTACCTTGCTGTCATCCAGGATTTGGGTCTTTGCGCTGAAGAACCCCAGGGTCGTGCTGTACCCTGCATCCGCAAACTTAAGACTGTCACCCAGGTTAGGAGCAATGCGCCAAGTCGCTCCACCGGCTGTCAACAACTGTACCCCGGCAACATACTGGGTCAGCGAAGATGTAGGACCGGTTGCCCAGCCATGTGCGTGGCTGATACGTGCGTCATTATTGTATGGCGCATAGTGCAACTCTCCAGTAACGCTATAACCCTCGATAAAAGTCGAATTGGTCATGCGCGGGTCGTCGAGCATGAAACCCCATTGTAAGTGCATGAGATTCAGAGCAGCCGTTACATTGCGCGCGAGGAAGTGTGTCTGCAGCTCAAAGCCCGAGATGAATGGTGAAATGGCGTCTGCGGCTTCCGGCGCAGGTGCACCATACTTTGTCCATCGCTCGACCAGACGATTGCTTATCAAAGAAGTCTGTTCCGCGCTTTGAGTGAGGTTGGCGACAACAGCCCAGGCGTTTCCATCCTGAGGATTTAGCGTCGTTGTCTCGTTGTCCTTGTACATGCCCACTTCCTCGTCCCAGAGAAGCTCGTTGGCGGCCACCTTGATGCGCTCGGCCGTCTCGCGCCAGTCTGACACATTTGCAGTGTCGTTGAGAGCGCCAGCAAGGTAGATAGCTTGGTAGAGGGTGTAGTAGAGAATGGCGTTTGCCTCGATATTGTGTCCGCCCATTCCCTCACGGAGCCAGTCCTGCGGCGTAGTCACGTTCATGAGGCCAGTCGAATCAATGTTGCTGAGCGAAAATGAAAGTGCGAATTTGTATTGCTCCCATAGAGATTTTAGGTACGACATGTCGCCCTGTGGAAAACAGTCAGCCCGCCGTAAGAGGATATTATGGTAAAGAGGGGGTAAATTCTTACAGTATATAGGTAGTGATCCGCTACACCGATCAAAGTGTAAAGATGGTACGTGAACGACACCAAAGGGAAAAAAGGTCGACCGGCATAGGGCAGCGTGCCAGTTGTTTGGTTCTGAATAGCAAAGAGTGAGTTGAGTGCGTTCTCAACCGAGACGACATCGTTTGTGGATACGACTACTGCGGGTACAGCAATAGCCATGTCTTTGGGGTTTTGTTAGCATTTTCCTCGATTTTTGATAAATCACGATCGGAGTAGAACGTACCTCCAGCCCAAACAAGCCTATCCCTCTTCGCTCCATCCACCAACGCACTCGTGCCTTGAGTAATCGTATAGTTGTTATACCACGTAACATTAACCGGACTCTGGTCATCCGTACTCGAATATCCCGTTTCTCCCAAGTGCACCAAAGCATTACCCGTATCCGGGGGGACCGTACACAACTGATTTGTATACGCACCCGCATACCAAATCCTATTCAACAGCTCATCTGCCTCCCATTAGCCAAAGTTACGTTTTAAAAAAAAATCTCTCCTTACCATCACAATGAAAGTACCCCGTATAATTCCCAATCGCATCATCAGCCCAATGCGGCATAGCCGTATAATGCACCTCCGCGCCCGTAACCTCCAGACTACCCGTCCCATTATGCACCAACGTCATATACCTAAAGCCACCGCGCATCTTATCCCTCGGCGCCGTATACTTTCCCGTGGCATTGACGCGAAACCAAAGCGTCTCATCCTTGCCCGCATCAGCCGTAGCATCGCTACTCCGATTGCTAATCCACAGCGAACTCTCAGAAAATGTAACGCCGATGTAGTCCCCGGTCGAATCCACACTACCGCCCACGCTCACACTCACGATGCCCGCGATGTTGATGCCAAAGTCGTACGCTGTGGATGCGTTACCGGTGAATACTGCGCTGCCATTGCTTGCTCCTTGGAGCAAAGCTTCCGGGTTCGACACGGAGCCGTTGCTGCTGTGTATAGAGACGGGGAGTACAGTTCGTGATTTGGGTGCGAGAATGTATTCAGAGTATGGAAGCGATGTGGCGGATGCCACCGTCGTCGTCGCTGCTGCTGCTGCTGCTACGGCTACGAGCGCCAGTGTAGACAACGTCATCGTAACCCGCGTTTTCGAAAGAAAAGAAAAAAAACTCTCGCGCAACAAGATAGTAGTCTAGTAAGTAAATGGGCATGGCACAAAAGTCACTTATATACCTCCGCACTTTCACCCCCAGCTACTTGCGCCCCCCCCCCCCGCAACCTTCCGCCATGGCATCGTCAAGCGAATCACCCGCAATCTCCACCTTTCAATCCAAACAGAAAAGAAAAGAAGATCTCGCAAGGTGCCGGACACAGAAGTAGCCTGCGCGTCAGTTTCGTAGTAGCTTCGCCCCGATACAACACCGAGATTTGGTGGGTCACGTCGAGCGCTGCAAAACCTGGGTTATATCCCGGGGCTAAAGCAAGAATAAATGGGGCGGGATCCTGGGAAAAAACGCGGGGTATGATGGTAGATTTGCTGATCGCTTCCTGATCCAAGCTACTTATGACGGTAAGCGATGGGGGTGGATGTGGTTGTTGGAGCCTCCACAACCCGTTGGGTTTTGTTTAGTCAGGTGCAAGGGGGATGAGTCGTATTTTCCCTTGGGCGTAGTAGATAGTTACATCGGAGACGCTATGCTACTAGCATCATCAAAGGGCACAATAAAAAAGGCAAGGCGAGAGAGTGGGCCGGAAGGGGCCCCACGAAATCCACGTTCGTAGCGAATAATTGTGCATTAGTACTACATACAGCGTACCCCGTTCCATTTGCTCTGTAACGTAATGTTCCCTATTTCTTATTTCTTGCTCGGGGGTAACATACCAAGTAACCTCTCCACTTCGATAGCTGCACTTCCACCCGCCTTGGCTCGAATCTCTTCAAGCAACTCCCGGTCTTTGACTTTGAATGCTTCCTCTCCTGCTTTGACTAGCAGGCCACATTTGGTCCACATTTCTACGCGCTCAGGTACGGACAGGGATGTGCACTTTGGAATAAATACCGATGCGACTCGAGTGTTGCCTGCGCCGAGGATCTCGTTGAAAAAGGGTTCCCAGCCAATAGGACTCTTCTTTTGCTTGGCGAACTCTTCGAGCTCGATCCAGTGGCGTGCTGCGACTAAGGCCCGGAGCCGGATGTACGTGTATGTCTTGTCGTTGATCTTGAACTCTGACTGCACCTTTTGAGCGCGTTTGGTATGACCCTGGCGAATAAGTTGGAAGATTGTTTCGTTCGCCGAGAGCCCAACGTAGGTCTGGCCAGGTAATGTGCTAGCGGGGCTGGCGTCCCTGGGTCCATTGAGGTCATTCTCAAATTGTGTTTGGAGACGAAGAAGCTTGGCTGCATCATCGATAGACTGG